TCACAGGTAATGACTAGCACGTGCGCGTGTGGGCGCCACCACGGAGACAACGCAGGAAATGAGGGGCCACAGCTCAGCGGCTGAGTTTGATGTTTGCGACGTTAATTTGGGTAATGGCAGTAAGAAGATTTAAGAACTGAACAACATCACAAAGTGCCTTTGTGACTCGCAAATTAGATCATTTGCCAATTATTTAAAGTGCAGCACGTACACATACATACACACATTGTACGTGCAATGAAAAAGGGTAATTGCTGGTAACTTCCTGGACAGGAGTGAGGCACAATGACACAGGGTACTGGAACAGCAAAAGTAAATATGCGTGTTTGGTTTGCACCGTGGCTTGTGGATAATGATGTCCAACGTTTGTCTCCACGTGCAGGGAGCTTGAGCAGGAGTTGGATGCTGCACGTTTTCCTATGGATGCAGGTCTACACTCACTGGACTGGAATGGGCCGATGTTGATACAAATAAACAACTATGAGGTTACATTGGGAGCGGTTGAGCCAGAGGCTTGCATCAGGACAAGCGGAGCCCAATGGACTTAGTTGATATTGGTGTAACGATGCGTGGATCCTTCAGCTCACTGAACATGCGTAACATTGTATATATATTAAACAATTTTTATTTGTGTTTTACCCATGTGTGGTGTACGCACCGTGGTGGGTCTATTCGCACACCGTACGACGTGAAGCAAATATTTGAATCTGAACTAGAATCACCGTTTGCTGAGCACAGAGCCAAAGCAGCCAGCAACAAACAGCACCACCGAATGTGTAATGAGTACTATTAACACAGCAACACAACTCATGTCACGTGCTACAGGCAAGGGATATTGCCGAAAACGTCACCTATGATATACCTTTGTCTTTCACGGCAGTGTTAATAAAGGACGTGTTGGGTTTTTAATTGTTGTTAATTTTGCTTGTGCACCGATGCCAACCCAGCAGCAGGAGCAGCATCGCCAATTAATTTGTTTAACTTTGAAGACTTAATAGACGAGAGGACAATGCATCGAATTTCCGGGGAGTTGTCGGGCATCTTCGTGGGCATTTGAAAGCAAACAGGTACGCAAGTCACTTTGAAAAAAAAATGTGAATAAAGGAAGTTGTCTTGCGTCATATGGCATTGCACGGGAGGCTTAGCGAGGGGTATTTCATCATCACACACATGTTCCCACCATTAAAGAGAGACCCCCATAAACAAACCCACAGTAGTTCAAGTGCCAAACGCGACTCCCATGCTTTACATTTGTTTTCCATATCCACCCCCGCCCCACTACTGAAAAAAGCCAAGAGGTTTCTTTTTTTTCCAGTTTTTTTTTAAACATGTGTTTGGTATTTGAGCTGCATGTTTATGAGATGGAACAGTGGTAGCACAGTGATTCACTCGTTGCATGCTGAACCCGGTGACCCGAGTTTGATTCTCTGCCTCGCGTAAAGGGTAAAATCAGAGGAAAGTGGTGTCCTGACCTGATCCCAGGCCTACTTTCATCAACCCGTACTGACTAGGGGAAGTAGTTAAACAGCCCCCACCTCCAACATAGTATAGCTAGGCCTGTGGCCTGCAGAGGATTGACAAATTGTTGTAAGTAATTATACTAAAACGTCTCATCTCAGCAAAGCACGATTATACATGTGCGTTTTAAAAGATGGAATTCAAGTCGAAATGGTCATTATATTATGAGCCGAATGGTGAAAACGGAAAACGTGCAAACTCAGAGGGAGTACATTAACAGCATGCATACATCAATACAAATGTACAATTTAATGCGAATGTTTGAAAGGCTTTATGTGTTGTACAATACAGGTACGGTATTGAAATAGTAATTGCATTGTTGTTCCAAATGGGTCCACACACATAAAAAACAGCAGGGGGCAGGCAATACCCTGTAACCCGAGCCTAGCCTCTACATCAAAGGTCTGCCTTATTCTCCATAGGATTAGCGATCGAAAATGTCATAATTTCAAGTGAAGGGAAATGCGTAGGTGGCTGTGTGAGCACGCGTTCGTTGTCTTCCATGGCAATGCACGATTATTATCTCACCTCTCGTTTGGGCAATGTTGACATCAGAAGCCCCCAAAGTGGAATGTTCCAATGCCCTCTCTCTCTCTGAGAGATTGATAATCGGGGTGTACTTTCACATTGCGAAGTCAACGTTTAGAGCACTGGTTTTCCAAACCCGTGGTCCGCAGGCTACTTGCTGGTGGAGGCTCTGCAAGACCGTTGGAAAGCGGCCCGAGGAACGGCTTCAGAAACGAGGATTGTTTTATTTCACAAAACGCCCATGCGTTGTTTTTTTTACTGCCCATTGCACAACTAGCAACATCAGCCACCTCGTGAATGAGTCACGGATAAGCGAGTTCATCATCGTTATACCTTTAAAAATTAACAATGTATGGCGCTTTTTAGAGCCGTTTTCATTTGATGTAATTTAAAAAAAAATTGGTGGTGGTTGTTGTTGGTGCACCAACATTTGCTGTGGCTTGCCTGTGGCCCTCGTTTTCCAGAACTGTTGTGGACCACTGGACTGGAGGTCAAGCACAACGCATCCAGGGCCACCCGAAACATTGTGGAAGCAAGCGCATTAGCTACGTTAGTAAATGGCATTCGGCCAATTGCCTCCCTTAAGCAATGTGGATAATGGAGCTGAAGAAGCCTGCAGTGTAGCTACGGTCCGCTGAACCGTGTAGTGGAGTATTGCATGGTGGTGCAATTTGACTGTCTAACTTCACATGACATCTCCTGATAAATTGGTTGTCTTTGTTAGCCCCTACATCCAAAATAATCATTTTCATGCCTCAACTGTCAATTCCAGTGACAATTCGTTGGAACAATTCCGCACAACAATTTAAGAGCCACGCTTTTATATGCCAATTTCCTACTCGGCGCCCGGACACATGGTGTACGCGCACTTAATGTGTTTATTTATTTATTTACGTTCGCGCACGTACATTATGCATTAACATGGATTTGAAACATATCTATCTGTTGGTTCAAACCGACACCGGCTGAGTTCCAGGTTTTTAATGCGAGAAGCCATCCGCGATGAAGCCAAGGTCTCACCAAGTGTCGTGAAGTGATGGTCTAAGCCCGCTGACCAATGACTGCACGAAAAAAAATCACATTTAATTTGGATTTGCATTTGATGTGTCTATTATATTCCTGCTCTTGAGAATTATAAACATGCCGGTTTGGGCAATCGCGTGACGCATGCATCAGGGTGCTTGGGGAAGTGCTGCCCCCTGGTGTAGGTGAAGTCAGTCGATGGGATTTCAGAAGGAGTTCTGTGATATCTGCTGCTGCAGCAGACTGTTCTCACTGCTCTGCGGTAGTTCCGAACGGACTGTGCATCTCATGACATGACGCCCCCAGCACAATCAAGAAAACACGAGGGACAAAAAAAGAAACGAATCTGCATGCTTCGAACAAGTCGACTCCGCAGTCTCTAAAAAAAAAACTGAATTATTTGCACCCCACGTGTTTATGTCATCATATTTATTTGTTTAAAACAATGTCTAAGTGGATGGATTGGCAAGCATAACGTGCCACCTCTCTTGTCTCCCCAGTGCTGAAGTTTAAACACCGCACTGATTTGACTTAAACACAAGGGGGATTTTGTATGTATCTTATATGTACTGTATCTTGAACTTATTTCGCGCCATGCGTAGCCAACCGTACTCATTGGAGGCGCCGTTGTGACGATGAGTTCCAAGTCAGCCTTCGCTGTGTGAAACGTAACCGTTTCCCCTCTCTGCTACCCCCAGTAATCTTGAGTTCCCTCTCACTGGTGATCCGTGCTGACAACTCGTGACCCCTGTTCAAGGTTCACGATCTTCCCCTTCTTCCTCGGCCTTCGTCGTGGAGGAAGACATTCAAACGCTTCCTTGTGTCCCTCGTGACGCGCACGTCCCACTCACGTGTGTGCGTGCAGCATCACGACGAGAGATTGTTTTCGGAGAGACGTGTACACTTAGACAAAGCCAAGACTTCTTGCTGTTATTATGCACAGCTGGGGAAACGAAACACATTTCCTGGAAGCACAGTGCAGTGTACCCTAGGAGTGCACACTGTGAGAAACTACTTATTAAGCTAGGATAGCACACAAGTAGGATTATCACCTCTGCTGCTTTTGCTAGGCAGCTGTCAATCCAATATCTGTAAGTCTTCCCAGGACACATTAAAGGTCAGGTTTTTTGTCAGTTGCATAATTATAGACCAATCAAGACGATGCATTTACAAGCGATTCTCCCCTCGACTACAATTGTGAGATATTATAATTCCATGTGTCTGTACCTCAGAGGCCACAACCCTATTCGCAATGTGCTATGAATAATCGGGGCTATTTCCTGAAATGTCACCTATTGCACGTTCTCTTGAAGGCCACTCAGTGTTAGTGACGAATGTGTTTGAGTCTCGACATAGCATGGGTGGTAAAGCCAGCGCCAAACCTGCACACCGCTGTCTCCCCAGTGCTGATGTTCACACGCCTTACCAAGTACTCCAGGTACGTATTTTAAAGACAGTAATGCACACCCTCCCCACGCCCTCTCTCCTCCCTATAGGCTGAACAGACTGTTGGGGCAAGTGTTTTATAAGGCTGAGTCTACCCCGGGTAGGCTCAGAACCGGTTCAAACATTCGCGACTGTTATTGGTCGCAACGTTAAACAAATATAGACAACACGTTCTACTTAATTAAATATACTTTTTAATACATGTTTTCTCCTACAACATCAGAGTGCAGCGCACTACGATGACAATAGTTTAAAGCGATTTGAAGCATTTTTTGGGGGGGGGGAGGGGGCAGAGCTTTGTGACGTCATATTTGAGGGGGGGGGTCTGACTTTTTGTGACGCCGTGTGACGATGGGGGGAGGGTCAAAATCGTCCAAAATCGCGTGACGTCATTTATGGACGCCCCCATAGCTTAGTATTTGTGTATGTATGTAACGCTTTTTTTTAAGAGGAGACAAGTTTTGAAAAAAAAAATTCCCTCCCGGTCAAAGCCGGAGACTTCCTGCTAGTACTTTATACTAAGACGAGACACACACACGGGCGACTACGAGAGGTTGTGACCATGGCGAGTGAGTTAAATGAGGAAGTGAATCATCATCAGCATTGCAGCTGTGCCCTGCGCTCTTTAAACTTGCCCGGGCAGTAGTCGCGCCCTCCAATCACCGTTGAGTCGCCGCAGGTTTTACACACGGTGGGGGGTGAGTGGGGGGTGGTGGTGTGGGTGGAGTGGTGGTGGCGGTGTGTGTGGGGGCGGTGACGTTGAAGTCCCGTGAAACAACCAAGAAAAAAACCGACTCGTCTGTCTCCTTGCTCGCAGGGGCCGCGTACCATCCAAGCAGGAAGGGAACTCAACTTACAGCGACCATCCCCCCCCCTCCATCATCGGCGAGTTCCTTCCACGCTCGAGGCAGACAACTTGCTATCACGCCAGGTGGAAAGAAACTCAACAAAAGTTACTTTTGACGCCGGTAAGATTCTCTTCAAGCCGAGTTTACTTTCGCACTATCACAACAACAGGAAACTACAACGACTAAGTCTTGGATGCGGCGTCGTGAACGCTGATGTTTTGCCACTCCACTCCACTCACGAGTAACTGGGGTTTTTTTAAAAAAAAAATTTTGCTGCGCGTTCTTTTCCGGCGCCGCTCGTTTGGAGGAGCCGCCGCGGTTATGGGGCAGGCTGCGTTCTTTCCTCGTCGATGTCCACAACGGTAAGCCACCGGTTGTGTTCTCGAGCCAACCTGAGCATTAACGTGGATGGAGGGGGGAGGGCAGTAAGTCAGTCGCACGAAAGGTAAAGAACAATAGCAAAACGTCAAGGTCCCATTGCATGGCATGGCAGCAACGTGTGCCAAACGGGAGGGCCTGTATTCGATCTTCAAAAACAACAACAACACGAGAGAAATGAACATAGTGTATATGCATTCACGATGGTTTTTCAACGGCACAAACGGATTCGCGGATTTATCTATACCCCCGGCATTGTTTGGGCCAGCCTCGTCAAGTCTGTGCTCCTTGCCTCTCGTTACACGGTGCTTTCATTAAGCGAGGCTTTGACAAGCCCTAATTGGGACTCCCCGCTGTTGGGAATGATGTTTGTGGCTCAGTTCTTCACTGTTCCAAATCGAATCTCTGCGCGCGGGATCTGTACTGAATGTTGAATCGGCCCACGCTGGTTTAACCCCTTCATATTCTGTTGAACGCCGTAAAGCGATAGAATCAGTCCGTGAAATATTGACTAACAAATTATGATAATGACAAGTAGGTGTTGTGTCATGCTCAAATAAAGTTACCCTGGGGTGCCACGGTGGCGAGATGTGAACTCGCTCGCCAGGTATGCAGGAGGTCGTGGGTTCGATCCCGACCCTGACGTCTGTATATTTGGAGTTTGCATGTTCTCCCCGTGGTCGCGTTGAATTTTATCCGGGTCCTCTGGTTTATCCCTCCGCATTTATAAACACGCCTTGATAGTATTTGGCTGCTATACATTTCCACGTGATAAGCCGCTTCGGCGAGCTATCATTGGTGATAGCCAGGTCGCTTCTGAAAAATAGCTATATAGCTCAGTGGGCCTTACGTGGTAAAATAAAAAAAAGTTTAGCTTCATAGTTTACGGTAAACATTGCCGTACCAGCAGTTATGGAACAGGGATCGACGTTTTAGCGGTTTTGACTCCATGCTAGATCCATACGAATGTCCCCATGCTGTAACCAATCCTCGAACACTCCAGTAGGCAAACCAATACAAAGATCCCCCGTGTACCCTAAACAGGCTTTTGGGGCAAGTGCTTTTAGCGAGCACCTATGAATGCCAGCACGGCACTCGAGGGGGTGGGTGGCCAGCACCACGCCCGACCGCCTTTGTCTCTCCAGTGGTGATGTTTATGCATCACACCAGGTACCAAGGTTGAGGCTGAGTCGACCTAAGGGAGTCCCAGGACGGGTTCATTTAATCGTCACTGGTATTGGTGGCCGTGAACGGGAATCAAACTCAGGTCGCCGGGTTCGTAGCGCAGAGCGCTAACCGCTACACTACCGCTCCCCATGTTGTAACCAAATATTCTCACACTGCAGCAGGCTTGCACCACAGGCACATGCAGCGATTTGGGAATTAACGCTAACCGCGTGGCATCGCCTACCATTGGTTGCATGAGGATGACGCGTATCGTCGATGCTCCCTTCATATTTAACCTCATGGGAAAATAGGGTTGCGTTCCTGGGTCCGAAATGATCACCTTCTCCCTCTTGTTTAACTAATTCTATCAAAGTCCCAACCTTGTTATTGTGCTACTGCAGCAGTTCTTAACCTGGGGTGCGAGACGTGCCGGATTTGTTATGGAAGGTAAATCATCGAAAGACAAATTAAGCATGGGCACGTAATTGCAACTTTTTTGTTTCATAAAACCCTGTGTATTTGTTAACATGAAAAAAATACCGATTGAGAACCAAATGGGTGTAAACATGAAGCACCACTGTGCCAAGTGATGCCGAGTCTCTCTCAATTCCGTGTGTGTGTACACTCTTTTTAAATTTCACCGCAACACAAACCACTCCCCCCCTCCCCCTGTCTCCTTTCCTCTTCCCGGGGCCCAAATATTCGCACCCAAAGCTCGCTCCTATCACCGTCACTTGAACGTCAACGATTCACCATCTAGGATTCTAGGCGTCCCTATGGCACCGTCAACGAGTGGATGGACAGATCCATGCAACAATGTGTGGGACATTTGCTTTGTATGTATGTTGAACTTCTTTCGCATCGTACATAGCCAATCGTGCTAATCGGATGTGCAGGGGAAGGACAACACACTAAACACAAAAAACACTTGGAAATGAATTCGTTTTCAGTGCAGTGGGTGTTGAGTGTTACATTACACTGTGTAATATGTTTTTGTTGGTCCTGGGTAGTAAGTGGAATTTCCTAATTGCTTATGCCTCAAAGGTACAGAAAATGGATATTATTCCCCACAAACTTTGCTTTTGTGACCAGGACATTGATATTTCGAAATTTATCTGTTTTCAATGAGAAAACGGGCGAATTTGTGTCTTTCGTTCACATACAGTCCTAATCACAAAAACAAAGTTTCTGGGGAATAATAGCCATTTTTCTATACCTTTTAGGCAATTCTATTTGTAGGGGTTACAACTGCAATACACGACTTCAAAACTTGGGCAATTATGGAAGGCAGAGCAGGATCTAAATAATGAAATAAATAGTCGAGCGATAGCAGTTTCAAGTGCTTTTGTGAAAATGTATTATACAACTCGTTGCTTTAATTAAAGGCGCTGAACAGATGTGGCCGATATTACAGTAAAGTGCTGACAATCATAATTCAAACAAGAATTATCCATGCATGGCCAGGTGTAACACCTGGATGGTCTGTGCGTGTGTGTGCTACAAGCGACATGCAATTACTGCTTCAAATTTACAGATACTCAGAGGCAATACATTGGTTTAATACGTGTCATCTGAAATATATTCAGTCCACATTCATCTAGATTAACCGGTCTCTCGTGGAATAGTGAGCATATATGTTTCCAATAAGATACATGTATACAGCACATTGGACAGTTGCATACAGGATGCTTGTGTTGTGTGTGTTTAATTATGGGAATATGGGAATTATTTTCATTAACGTTGTAATTTCTCACTTTTGGTCACTTGCACTGAAATCTGCGAATGGGAATGTAAAGCGGTGAAACGACGAATGGAGGAGATTGATGCAACCACGCGGCCTCTTCCACTGATTTCTGCAGGTGCCAGATGTAACTGATGAATTTAATCAAGCTGGAATGTTTCCCGGAGTATAAATTGAATTGATTCTATCTCGCAAAAGAATTGTTTGGGGGGCAATGCGTGTGTCCATTGTGGCGCAAATGACATCTGCGAGAAATAATTATCATTCTACTGTGAACTTAGCAGACACAGTTAATCAGGTCACCACCCACCGCTGCCTGGGTGCAGGGGAGGTAATATCGTGAGCCTAAATGGGCACTGGAAGAATTTTGTGAGCTTCATTCACAGTACGATGACACCCATTCGAATGAGCTCAAGGCTATTCGGAATACAATTGCCAGATTATTACGCCGGTATTGAACATGGGATGTGACCTATCATTCCATTACATGGTACGGAACATGTAACAGCATGAGCACATGTATTTCACGATCTGTTTATAAGTAAAATCGCATTCTCTTTTACATTAATAATGATCGCGTGTGCTGGCATTGCATCTTCCCAAACGTTGCCTCGATGGCTTGGGGAAAACTCAATGTCAACAAAAAAAACACTGCTCTCGTGCTGCACGCAAAATGTATAATTATCTTACAACTGTCAATTACACACACACACACACACGTTATACTACGTGCTTTTATGTAAAGAATATACAGCAATGGGTTTGTTTTTTTAAGTGAGAGCAGTGACCTGGTGGGTGAGAGCAATGCGCTACGAACCCAGTAACCAGTGACCTGAGTTCGATTCCTGGCCACGGCCGGTGTCCAGCAGCAAGTGGCATCTAAACCGGTCGCTTCTCTTCGCACACTCTCACGGACCAGCTTGGTGGTCATGGCAAGTTGGTGATACTCGTGTGGAGAGGCCTACGTCCAGCGGCGGATTGACAACGAGCAGAACCTTCATTAATATATAGATGTACAAACCTGAGGCTTTGCGTTCATTACAAGAACACCGATATCCCCCCCCCCCCCCCCCCCCTCGGAACGTTTCTAAAGCACATCCACAGATGATTCTTTTTTTTTGCCACGTCATTCGAATGTGGTGTAACCCACAAAGCATCACACAAACATCATCTAATGCGGTGAGCGCACACAGCAACAACAAGCATGTTCCACGACTCTACTCGCTGCCCCATTACGGATGGTGCTTGCATGCTGTTTTTAATTCAAAACACAGCAGATACACTCATGCGTCCATTACTTTACCTTGGGGGTATGATGTTGATGAAATATGGGGAAACAATGTTGCGTTTAATGATACTGACACAAGCTCTCTCCCCATTAGCGGTGCACACTGCGGTCTCTGTCAGACAGAGTTTGGCGAACAATGCGTGGTTGACCTCCCGCATCTGCAGACTTCTGTTGAATGCATTGCAGTGACGTGGTGCAGCTTCCACTCGTAGAAACGGCACTGCAAGGGACATTTAGTTTGTTTTTGTCCAGGGCTATGGATACATCTACTCAACAAACCTAATTGGGGCTGTGAGTGTCCTCGGGTCAGGGAATATGTGTGTGTTTTCATCATATTGTATCTGTAAACCCTCCATGTACGTATGAAGCGCCTCTACCTGCAGAGTAATCCATTTATAGATAACGCCGCGAAAACAACATGAATATATTTATGACGGAAACTACATTTGTGTTTCAAAGTCTCTACATGTTTCCCACCATTCTGAACACGTTCACTTTGATGTAACGGCTCATACTCTCCTCTGTAAGATGATAAAAAGCCAACGC